ATCTCTTTGTTTCTCTAGAGTTTGCACACTGCTCTGTGGCCAGTGAATGGTACAGTGCAAAGCAGTGCTGCCACATAAGCATGAAGTAAGGAGAAGAACATTTCTGTACTGCTAGGTAATGTTCATAGGAGTTCAGTTAAAAGTAGATTGTGTGATGTCTGTGGTGTTGGAAAAATTGAGTTAGATAACTTGAGTTTTTGTGTTGCACATCATGGCAGATCTATTTGGTGCGACGAATAGTAGAACAATTTGGAATTTACTTTATTTTAGTTCATCCTATACACATTAGAGATATGCTTAAATTCATTTATGATACATTTATTTTTCTTCAGAATTAAGGCATTTAATACTGTATTTCCTTGATTGTAAGATGCCCTTGATTTATTAATAGGTCTTCAGGAAAAGAATATACATATTACAATAAGAATTGTCAATTATCAATCTTAAAACTTCTCTGTATTAATAATTCCAGAATGTTTGTGTTTATTATCGCATGAGTAGTGTTATGGACATGAAGATTTTCCTTACGCTTTAATCACACAACTTTTTTTTCTTTAGTTCTTACACGCCATTAACTGTAAGATGCGCCCAGTTTCAGAAATTTTAAAATGTGGGGAAAAGTTTCTTAAAATTCAGGCAGTATGGTAGTTAAGAGGGCCATATTATTTCATCACAATCTTTTAAAATCTAATATCATGTTTGGGAACATAGGGTAATTGCATTGTTTTCACATTAACACCCCCACTGCTGCAGGGAAGTGTCTTTCATTGATATTGGTTGAGAAATTTTTCTTGAGTGTGCGGGACTGATATTCTTGTGCATTTAAAAAGTAAGGGTGGAGATGGCTGTTTTCTGAGATGGTCAGTGTGTTGTCTGGTAGAAATTGATCAGTGTTTCAGAGGCACTTAAATCTTCCTTCATCCTGGTGAAGAAGAAATGGTCAATTTCTGTCAGATTGCATGGCTCATCACTGCTGAGAACCTGAAGTCTCGACACACAACATGACCATAATTCATTCTCCACGTTACAATCATGCATAATACAGCGTTAGAAATTCCGTGACTCGTAGACGAAGCCATTAATTTGCTGCCCACTGTTCTGATTGCATCGGGGCCAGATCATGCCTGAACGTAGATCAAGTCCAGGAATTTTTTGTTATTGTACTACGTACATAAACACACAATGCAAGCAAGAGAAGAAACATTTTGCTGTATTTGAAAGATTCTCAATTTTTATATGAACATGACTTCAGCCTGTAAAATGCCTAGGTGGTGGTCTGTTTTGCACCAAGTGTTCTCCAGCATATGTGATGTAAAAGTGAAGTGCATCTCTGATTAACGCACAGTGTTTTTGTTGTTTTTTCATTGTAGCAGCTTTCTTACATAAACTTGTTCCTATGTGTAATCTGAGTGGACAAAATCCATAATGGTTACATTGGGGAAGCTAGGAAACTATGATATTGGCCAACTGCACCCAGTCTGTCATCCTGAAAAATTTTGTTTAGAAACTGTCCTGCCAGGCTCCAGTGTGAGCATATTTAGATAATTTGAACTGTTAACTGTATTCTCCAATCCAGGATCCAATCTTCTGCTAGCATAAACTCTGCAGCATGAGCCAGTTAAGCCCAACACTGGCAGACTAGTTTAATTGAGATTCATTTTAATATTATCTTCCCATATCTTTTCTTTTCATGAACATCCAGTGACCAAAGAAACAGCAATCTTATCTGTTTTCTGTTTGCTTATCAAGACTTCTGATGCTTATATTCAAAATTTGGTTACCCTAATAAAAAAGACTAAATTGTTAGATGACATCCAAATTTGAAGCATGAGTTTTCAGCCTTCTCTAATATGGTGTGTGATATGACACTTTGTTGGTAACGATTGGTCACCTTTGCAAAACATAACTTTTCAGTGAATATATCACTAATGTCATCCTAATATATGCTAAATGTAAGACTGGTAGCTGTTAATTTTCTTTCCTCTCTATGCCCAAAGTTAAGTCTTATATGTGAAAGCAGTAAGTGTCTACCCCATCATCTGAATGGTAAAAATTTCTACTGAATTAATGTCCAAATTTGTTATGACGCTGTGATAAAGGTGTTCAGGATGGGTAGTAGACTTGCCTGTTGGTAGATACATCTGAGAATTAATGGTTTTTGTGATACAGCATGAAAAATTTCTAACTTATCACACTTTTGTGGATTGATGCTTGATTTAAAATTGTGTGTTTATTTTTGAAGACTGTGATTTATATGTTTGTTGGTTGTAGAACTTTTAAATTTTGTGTGAATTCTCATAACCCCAAATTCTGCTATTGTGTCTTTTCATGATACCAGACAAGTGAAAGGTGACTTATTGCAAGAAATGCCTAAGAACCTATTGTCAATGTCGGTCCATCTGAACATATCCATACCAAATTATTTCTGACTTCATTGATCGTCCGGTTCCAGTGCTTGCATTATGTGTATTTTGTATGTGTGTGTCTTTGAACAGTGGTGGAGAATTTTCTGCATGGTTTTCCAGGGAATACGACGTTCTCTATTAGCACAGCTTTCAAACTTTTTCCAGTATGTCAGCGTCTTCAGACGGCCTACGTGGACCCTTTTTATACTAGACACTGCCTCTCTCCTTAAATTGTTATATTCAAATCTTAATGGAAGGTAATGTCTTTGAAATACAATATATATTTAAGCTGCCAGTAACACAACGTTTTCTGCTATGGTAACACCATTTTGCATTTCTGAGTTATGTTTATTCAGTAGCACCGCCAGTGATTGCATGGTAAACTTCTATGAATGTGTTTGAGTAGTTCTTTCAAACAGACTGTTTCTTGGTATGTTTGTAATGTGGTAAATAAAGTATGGTCATGCTGTATATCATTCCCCTCATGAATGCATTTCAGTCCGTCCTCTGTGTATTTCCATGTCCATAGAAATAGAATAACCATATGTATATTACTGATATTGTTTTTCAACAAAACTCAGTCTTCAGTTGAAGGACTCCATGTGACTATGGTTGTGATCCACAAAAGATACAAACTAGTATGATTTAAGCTTTATAGTCAGTAGTAACACAACATTTTGATGGACCAGTAGTAGATGAAATTCTTTGGCTTAAATAATTACATCTAGAAATGAAGGAAGGTCAGTCAAGACATCACTCTTACAAATATGTGAGTATTTTCCTTACAGGCAATTATAAATACTGCCATATTTTATTTTAGCTATGTCAGCAAGTAATATCAGTGCTTTAGAGACCTAAGACTTGCTTCGGAGAGCTATAATTGGCCTTAAATTCTCCGTGAATTTTATTCAGACCTCTCGTTCTATATTTAAGACATTTTCCCATGGAGTGCTGCTCAGTTCTAACCTTTTAGATAATGCAGTGACCACATATTACTCCTTGATATCTTCTAGGACAATATATGTACATTTGTGCCAAACCATACAACAATCTTAACTCTCGATTTGTTTATACCAGATGAAATTACAGATTTACGAACATATTGCTTCAGTAAATCCATGCCAGTTTTGTTGTATGTTCATTGGTGCTGTTCAGCTACATGTTTTTTGTTTATGAGCAAGGACTCCTCTTTGTCACATTTCTTATCATTGTCTTGTAGATGTGTAAACACATTACCAGTTTATAAAAGTTAAAAGTTTTATAATGTTCTCTCTGTTGAATCATCAAATTCAAAAGCGTGAATTGAAGTGTCAGAATACGGTATTTCTTATTCGCTAATTATCCTCTTAAAAATTCTTCCACACACACTCCTTCATTTTCTTTAACCTTCTCAACAAACATAATAATTTATATGATTTGAAGCTTTTGCAGCGACTAAACTCAAATTCTTCTCATTCAATCAGCCACGTCAGTTACATGAAGAGACCAGTGTTTTAGAGAACCATCTTTGTCCCCATCATCAGGTTTCTGAACCCCGATTTTGGAGACAGAGATGGCTCCCGAAACCTTTGTCTCTTTATGTGACCAGTTTATGCGGCTGATTGCCCGAGAAGATTTAATTAAAACATCATAATTGAATGGTACAGATAGTTTTGTTCTGTTTATATACAAATACTGAATTTCACATGTAGGCAGGAACTTAGGCACATACAATGAAGCTTACTAAAATGGAATCTCAGAGGACCTGAACTTAACTTCCATTTCTGATTGATTTATGTCCATCCGGCTTCCTCTCCAGGTTTAAAGTGGTCAGAGCATGAGAATAACTCGTCCACCTATTAACTTCTCTTCCCTGTGTCTTCATGACGTGGTGCTTAAACATGGAAACAGCTGTATGATATGTCACAGTAGGAACATTATCGAAGCATATAATCCTACGTAGGCTTACATGTTTTCAATTAACTTTACTTATTTGGTGTTTCATTTCTGATAGATGATTCTTTGCATATTAATTCCAGGAAACCATTGTAAAGAAAATTATATAATAATAACAAAACCATAAATATTCGAGCAGACTGGTATGAATTTATTGGAGATATTTATATTATTACATATATTTATTTTTCCAGTCTATACACAAAACTTGTTTTAAAATAATGTTGTTTTTGTGCATTGCGTTTATTGATTTTTAATTTTCAGTCTTCATCTTGATTTGGAGTATGCATTTTGATGTTCATTATCAGGTTGTATTGTGATGTGTCGGACGTCTGATATCCACAGACGACAAACTGCAACTGCAGTTTTTAAAAATATATGAATTGATAAGCCTGATGATGATGTGGTAAACATCGAAACATGTCGTCGAAATCAAAAGCGCTGTGATAGATGTAATATTATACGACACAGAAAAGCGCCATAAAATATAACATAATGCAATTTATATTGTAAATGTTATAAATAATTTTAAACAACATTATTTTAAAACAAGTTTTGTGTATAGACTGGAAAAATAAATATATGTATTGATATAACACAAACATGACGCAATTAAGATATAAATTTATATTATTGTTTCTCATTCTGTATGCTTGAGTGCCAGAGATTTTATCCATTTAAGCCCTGTTCTCTTTTCATCAGTACAATGATAATTTTGTGGGTATGTGTGTGGTTCCAATTCTATCAGAATTTATATTTGCTATTTTCTTTTGTAGTTAGGAAAAAAATTATATAGCAGAGTGAATGATGGGCCATTCTTGATGTTTTTAGTTTGATTCAGTTCAAATGTTTGTTTCCGGATTGTGTCTTAGATTATGATATAAGAAAATGGCCTGAAATTATGGAATTTGCCTTGTTAATATACATAACGTAATATGTACAAGTTTTTATTTTAAATGTTTATTAAAGAGCTTTTTGTCTAACATTTTGTGTAGTTAAATTGTGTGTTTCATAGTGAATCACACTGTTTAAATCGAGTATTAGAATAGACAATGGGTAGCCATATTCCTGAAAACATGTGAATTTCCAAAAAAAATATACAGATGAATTTAAAATGTTTAGCCATTATAAAAAGAAGTGATGAATTTGTAGTTAATTATAAATTCCTTATATTGATATTCATTCCTTAAAAATTTTATTATTAAGAAGATAATTTTGGAAAGTCACATGCTCTGAGTTAGGGCTTGGAAATTATAAACATGTAGACTTGCTACTTTACTATGAAAGTGATTTGTGTAAACTTTTCCCAGCTCTTTTTTAAGTGTAGTAGAAACATTTGTATTGGTTATGATAGTTCATAAGAATTTTGACTTTTTAACAAACGTATCAACAAAATGTAGTGTGTGCAGGGTTAATAATACTCTGCAGTGATCTATGCACAAATTAATGTTGCTCGATTGGAAGAGAATTCTGATTCTGTGTGCTCATAATTTTGTATTTTTGTTCTGGTTCTGTCATTTGTTAATTATAAGAAATAATAATTTGCAATTTCTGAGAATGCTACTTTTCATCTTATTTTACTATATTTAACATGCAGATGGCAGCATTGAAATTGCTGTGTAGCATGGAAGTGTTGTGTGTTGATGAGGTGGCCTTAATTGTTAAAGCCGTCCCACCATTTGACGGTGTAAGTGCGTATGTACAGGTTTAAATTACATTTATGTAAAAGTGGTTCCTGTCTGCTGATTTGTTTTGAATTTACTTACTAATGGATGGTCAATCAGTTTCAATCTCCTGTCTGCATGGTTATCAGTATAATTAAAAGTAGGAAATTCCTAAATGGGTTCTTTTTTCCATTTCTATGCTACCGGCAAAGTACACTAACAGTTTATTTTATACTTTGCCTGGGCATTCTATAGAATATCAAGGAATTTTATAAAATGCCTCAGATTCTTTAGTCAAAGTCTATAACAAAGAAGTTTCTATAATAAGATTTATACAGTTTTATTTTATCTTTTATATTTGCAAAAACTTAATATAAAACAATATTTTTTTAATTCTCAAAACTTTTGTTATGTTCAGATTCAGTAGCTTGGTGTTTTCGCGACTATCGTGCACAACCTCCATCTTGACAGCTTACCCAATCGACTTTGATTAATTTTAATTTACGCAGCCAAACAATATTAACATTACGATTTATTTCATACTTTGCCTACTGACTTTAGGCATTCTATACATTGCCGGTAACATATATAACAAAAGACAAAAATTGTTGTTCTCAGTTTAAAGAGAAAAATTGTTTTCCTCTCTTTATATAACATGGGAACTATGGTGAATCCTCTGCATTGTCTTTGGGAATATACAATTTCATTCAAAATTTAAATCAAAATGTAGTTTATTTAAGAACAGTTTTGATAACTCGGACTGTGTAGCATCAAGTGATGCGATGAGTAATGAAATGGAAAACGTGAAAGAAGCAGTCATAGCCAAAATCTATACACGGATGTGAGAATGCATGTTGAATAAAGAGTCTAACTTCTGAAAGTTATTAATATCCATCTGGTCTCAAGATTCAGTTCCAAATGGAGATCTCTCTCTCTATATTTGCCAGCATGCGCGTTACAGAAGTGCCTTCAAATTGTCCACAAGTAAGCTGAATTTAAATTTAAAGAGCCATACCATCTACATAAACAAATTCAGTCTAACACTGACACATTTTAATTGGGATTCATTGTAATATCTTCCCATGTCCATATTGATTTTATTCCTAGAATCACTCGACCTAAAAACATTCACTTCTGTTTCTTGCTTACTTATCATGACTGCCAGTACTTATTATATTCAAAATTTATACCCTACTTTAAACCACTCTTTTAGTTTCGTGTAGATCAGTTCCATATCTGAAGCAGATTTTGCTAACCGCAGTTTTTATTGTATATAAGATGAAATTAATTGGAAACATTTGGTTGCAGAGCCACTACCAATGAAAGTGTTAGTAATACCATCCTGGATGCACAAATACAAGACCCTTTTCATTTCTCTTATGAAGTTAAATTTTATGCGTGAAAGCAGTATGTGTCCTCGTGATCTGCATGGTAAGTACTTCTATTAAATTAATGTAGGGTATACAGTAGTGTGACCGCTCATTCCTGGGTTCAAGTCCCGGCGAGCTGCCAAGACCAATCAGACCATTTGTTCACATTTTTGAAAGAAACGAACTTAAAAATTAAAGGGAATACTGAGGACACACTAGTATTGGATTCCAGCAAGCAAACACCAAAAATTGTTCTTGTTCATTGATTCGGCGAAAGTGGCCGTTAATTACCAAAATAAAATTGTTATTGTCTGTTGATGAATTGTATTTCTGCAATGCAACGTGGGACATGTACCTGAAGCCACTACCCAATCCTCCTGGCAGGCGTTCAACTTATACTCCTCCATGCAATATTCCCTGACTAACAATTCCATGTTCACCTGAGCTATGTTCCCCAATTAAACCCTTAAACTTCAAAAACAACGAAGGCTACAACTGAGATGGGCGAACATAGTATTGGAGAGAGGGAAGGTTACATTAGTTAACGAAAATTATTTGAATAATTTTTTGAACTTCAATTTTTTTGTTTTGTGCGATTTTTAGACAATTTCCTGCATTTTTCATTTTTTGGAAAATTTGATTATTTTTTTTCAAAATTCTCCCCACCCGATCCCTGGCAGAAACGGTCTGTGCCGGACACGGTCTCTGGAAAGATCGGGTGAAGCAGAGACCGGTTGTGGTAGGTATCGTGTAGGAAAATTTTGAAGAAGAAATATTATATTTTTAAAAAATATTGAAAAATCAAAAAATACAAGAAATTATCTAAAAAGCCCACAAAACCAAAACTTTGGAATTATTTCAAAATAATTTGAAGTTGAAATCTTTTGAAAATATTGAAAAAATCGATTTTTTAAAAAAATTCTCCCCACCCGATCCCTGCCAGAAACGATGATCTCTCCTTTAATCGGTCTCTGCCATATCGTCTGTGACGGACCAGGTCCGTGCCGGACTCGGTCTCCTCACAATGCGGTCTCTGTATCACCCTTCACTAACGGGGCGTCACAGCAATGACCGCGTCCGGCAGACATTTGAGGCGCTTTTTAGAAAAATTCCTGCATTTTTTGATTTTTCGAAAATTATGAAAAAAAAATTCAAAACTCCCTAAGAGATGACCGACAAATCGGTGAATGCCTCACCTGTAACCCGGACTCGGCCTTCTACATCACTCGGTTGATGATTGACTCGGTGCTTGCATCAAATGGCCTCTGGAAGACTCGGTCTCTGCCGGTCTCGATCGCTGACTCACCCGTCTCTGTCTCACGAGGTGTCTGATGCACCTGTGGTGTGCAGACGACACGTCAGAGACCGTGTCATAAGGAGACCTGTTAGTGCAGATATCTTATCAAGCACAGACCGAGTTGGTCAGGGCCAGTGCAAAAGAGATACCGACAGAGACCGGTTCTGCCATGCATCTGGTAGGGAGATTTTGAAAATCGAAATATGCTGGAAATTGTCCAAAGAGCGCACAAAACATTAAGACAATTTCCAATATTTTTTTATTTTTCGAAAATTTTGAAAATTCTTTCCGAACTCCTCCAGTGATGACTGCCATATCGGTCAATGCCTCACCCTGTCCGCCGGACTCGGCCTTCTACATCGCTCGGTTGATGAATGCGTCGGTGCTTGCATCAACCAGCCTCTGCAAGACACGGTCTCTCACTGAGCGGGTCTCTGCCCCAACATTTGTCTGCTGCACCCGTGGTGTGCAGACGACACGCCAGAGACCGTGTCTTAAGGAGACCTGTTAGTGCAGAGATCGTATCAAGCACAGACTGCGTTCGTCAGAGACAGTGCATAAGAGAGTCCGAAAAAGACTGGTTCCGCCATGCATCTGGTGGGGAGATTTTTCAAAGATATTTTTGAAAATTTTCAAGAAAACATGCTGTAAATTGTCCAAAAAGCGCACAAAACAAAACATTTTTGAAAATTTTCACATTCAAAGTTTTTTCAATTTTTTTTAATTTTGTGCAATTTTTAGACAATTACCAGTACTTTTTGATTTTTCGAAAATTTTGAAAAAAATTCCGAACTCCTCCACAGATGACTGCCATATCGGTGAATGCCTCACCCTGTCTCTGCCGGACTCGGCCTCTATCTCACCCGGTTGCTTTCTGCCTCTGTGCCTGCAGCAACTGGCCTCTGCAGGACTCGGTGAGTGAACGATCCTGCCTCTGCCCGTCTTCGGCTCTGCCTTACGTGGTGTCTGCAACAACTGGACTTTTCAGAGACGGCATGTCAGAGACCGTGTGAGGCACAGACAGCGATCATCCGAGATACAGAGACCAGTTGCTGCAGGCACCAAGGCAGACAGCAACAGGGTGAGGCATTCACAGAGGCTGGCATGCACCCCTTGGGAAATTTTTGAAAATAGTTGAAAATTTTTCAAAAAATCAAAAAATGCTGGAAATTGTCAGAAAAGCACACAAATCCAAAAAACTTCAAAAATTTGAAAGTGACATTCTTCAAAAAAAATTTGTGCGCTTTTTGGGCAATTTCCAGCATATTTTGATTTTTCGAAAATTTCCAGTTTCTTCAATATTAATTTCAAAACCCAATACCTTATGTCTTGCAGGACGATCGCTGTCGACCTGTCTCTGATGCACTGTATCTCGGGCGAACGCTGTCTGTTCCTCACACGGTCTCTGACATGCAGTCTCTGAAATGTCTAGTTGCGGCAGACACCACGAAAGGCAGAGACCTAGACGGTCAGACGCACCATCGTTCACACACAGGGTCCTGCAGAGGCCAGTTGCTGCAGGTACCGAGGCAGACAGCAACCGGGTGAGAAAGACGCCGAGTTTGGCAGAGACAGGGTGAGGCAATCACCGAGGATGGCATGCACCCCTTGTGGAGAGTTTTGAAAAATAAATTGAAAATATTCAAAATTTTAGAAAAATCAAAAAATGCTGGAAATTGTCTGAAAAGCGTACAAACCCAAAAAATTTTGAAAAATCTGGAAAAAAATTGAAAGTGAAATTTTTCAAAAAGATTTGTTTTTGTGCGCTTTTTGCACAATTTTCAGCATTTTTGATGTTTCAAAAAAATCTTAATTTTTCAATAATTTTTTCAAAATTCTCCCCACCTGATGCCTTGCAGGCCGGTCGCTGTCGAACTGCGTCTGATGCACCGTGTCTCGGACGAACGCGGTCTGTGCCTCACACGGTCTCTGACATGCAGTCTCTGAAATGTCCAGTTGCGGCAGACACCACGTAAGGCAGAGAGAGACCGAGACCGGCAGAGGCACGACCGTTCACACACCCACTCCTGTAGAGACCAGTTGCTGCAGGCACCGAGCCAGACAGCAACAGGGTGACAAAGAGGCCGAGTCCGGCAGAGACAGGATCAGGCATACACCCCTTGCGAAAAGTTTTGAAAAAAGTTGAACATTTTCAAATTTTTCAAAAAATTCAAAAATGCTGGAAAATGTCTGTAAAGCGCACAATCCAAAAAAACTTGAAAAAGTTTTGAAAGTGAAATTTTTCAAAAAAAATTGATTTTGTGCCCTTTTTGGACAATTTCCAGCATTTTTTGATGTTTCGAAAATTTTAAAAATTTTCAATATTTCTTTCAAAATTCTCCCCACCTGATGCCTTGCAGCCGGTCGGTGTCGAACTGAGCCTGATGCTCGGTGTCTCGGACAAATGCGGTCTGTGCCTCACACGGTCTCTGACATGCAGTCTCTGAAATGTCCAGTTGCAGCAGACACCACGTAAAGCATAGACCGAGACGGACAGAAGCACGACCGTTCACACACGCACTCCTGCAGAGACCAGTTGCTGCAGGCACCTAGGCAGACAGCAACAGGGTGACATAGAGGCCGAGTCCAGCACAGACAGGGTGAGGCATTCACCAAGGCTGGCGTGCACCCCTTGGGAAAGTTTTGAAAAAAGTTGAAAATTATCAAATTTTTCAAAAAATCAAAAAATGCTGGAAATTGTCTGAAAAGCACACAAATCCAAAAAAACTTCAAAAATTTGAAAGTGAAATTCTTCAAAAAAATTTGGTTTTATGCGCTTTTTGGGCAATTTCCAGCATATTTTGATTTTTCGAAAATTTTCAGTTTTTTCAATATTAATTTCAAAATCCAAAAAATTTTGAAATAATTTTGAAAGTGACATTTTTCAAAAAAATTTGAAAATTTTCACATCCAAAAATTTTTTCAAAGATTTTCGGTTTTGTGCCCTTTTTAGACTATTTCCAGCAATTTTTGATTTTTCGAAATTTCTTAAAATTTTGAAAAGAATTTCCCAACTCCTCCAGAGCTGACCGCTATATTGGTCAATGCCTCACCCTGTCTGCCGGACTCAGCCTTCTACATCACTCGGTTCAAGGATGCGTCGGTGCTTGCAACAAGCAACCTATGCAAAGACTCGGTCTCTCACTGAGCGTGCCTGCCTTTCTCGAACGCTAGACCTGTTAGTGCAGAGATCGTATCAAACACAGACCGCGTTCGTCAAAGACAGTGCATAAGTGTGTCCGACAGAAACCGGTTCTGCCATGGATCTGGTGGAGAGATTTTTCAAATAAATTTTGAAAATTTTCAAAAAATCAAAATATGCAGGAAATTGTCTAAGAAGCGATCAAAACAAAATATTTTTGAAAATTTTCACATCCAAAATTTTTTCGAAATTTTCAAAAACTTTTGTTTTTCTGCACTTTTTAGACAATTTCCACAATTTTTTTTATTTTTAGAAAAATTTTATTTTTTAAAAAAATTCTCCGTACTCGATCCCTGTCAGTATCTCTGCATTAATCTGTCTGTGCAAGTCTCCGATGGGCCAGTTCTGTGGCGTAACTCGGTCTCTTCACAATGCGTTCCCTGTATCACCCGTTCTCTAACGGGCCGTCACTGCAAGGACCGCGTCCGGCATGGACCATGAGAAGCAGAGATCTGATAATGCAGAGACACGAGTCCGGCATAGGCCGGGTGAGGCAGAGACTGATTCAGGCAGAGACAGAGTCCTGGTAATGCAGAGACTGGGTAAAGCAAAAATCGTGTAATGTCCAGCCCGTGTATGAGTGAGGCAGCGACCGAGTCAGGCAGAGACAGAGTGAGATAGATACCGTGTCTGTCAGAGACCGGTTCTGATACGTATCGCGTAGGGATTTTTTTTAAAGAAAATCCTTTTTAAAATTTTCGATAAATAAAAAAAATTCAGGAAACTGTCTAAAAAACCCACAAAACAAAAAATTCTGAAAAATTTGAACCTCAACAAATTTTTAAAATATTTCGAAAATTTTGAAAATTTTTAAAAAATTCAAAATTTACCTTACCAGAACTGGTCTCTGCCAGACCCAGTCTCTGTCTCACCCGTTGTCTGCGTGACTCGGCGTCTGTCTCACTCGATCCTTGCCGGACCCGTTTTCTGACACAACCTGCTCTGTATAACCCGGTTTCTGACGGGCCATCTTCTCATAGACCGGTTCTAGCTGTGATCAGGTTGGGAGAATTTTGGGGGGAAAAATCGCAGAATCAAAAAATGTTGGAAATTGTTCAAAAAGCGCACAAAACTGAAATTTTTTAAAACATTTCAAAATCAAAAAATTTTAGTTTTAGTTTTTTGTGACATGGACTTTTTAAATTTTTTGAAAATTTTCCAGAATTTTGAAATGTTTTCCAAATTTGATGATCATTCCAGCACACACACCCGTACCGGCAGAAACCGGATACGGCAGTGACCGTGTCCGACAGAGACCAGGTTAAACAGAGTACGGGTCCTGCAGATACCGTGTCCGGTAAGGACTAGGTCCGGCAGAGGCCTGGTCATGCAT